CTAAGTTCGTGTCACTACGGTCCGTTTCAATCTATCCATGCTAACATCAAGAGTTTTATTTTCACACTTAACTCCATGTAAAAGGAGAAGAAATAAGAAAAATAGTAGAAAGTTGAACAATGACACAATAAACTAGAGAATAAAAGTATTAGTACTTTCCATATTTATACAGCTTATCTTCTAAAAGCTCCTTGATGTCTTGAAAACTCAACAATGGCAACTAGGAATACCTTGATAGTAAACAGGGAAGAATAGGGGACTCTATGTGCTTACTTTTTACTTAAATTATCCCATCATTAACCTCCAGATTATTCACCACCTTTGTCAATGGATCATCCACAATTTGTAAGGTTGATCATCACATAAAATAGAAATTTTCAAACGGAAGCATCTAGCTCTAGCGGTCCAACAAAGGCTTTTCCTTTAGGATAAACTGCCTAATTGGCAAATAAGTTTATTGTTGCTAATTGACTTTTCCGCAGATGGCATTGCTTTTGCATTATATGGAACACAGACATGCAATCTAATAAGGCAGAAGTTAACAAGCAAAATTGCAGATACACCAAATATACAATAAATATTCATATTTCTAACACATACAATAAATCAAGGCCAAGGAAGTTTCAAATTTGGCTTCTCGTGAGTGGCCCTAATAAGGCAGAAGTTAACAAGCAAAATTGCAGATATACCAACATGTGATATACTATTGTTTGCATATCAGAAAAGCCAATTTATAGTTAGACTGCCACATACCAAATCCAAATTCTTGCTCAAGCCGAATTCCGATTAAGAGAAGACTCAACATATTGGCAAGCACATGGATGACTCCAGCATGCAGCCAAATGCAAGAAATCAGACGCCATCCTTGGTGTTCATGAACCACTTTACGCACATCTAAAGCACCCATCTTCTCCAACCTGAAAATTTGATCACATTTTTGTTAGTTAGATATCCTCTATAAGACACTAAATGTCGTAGAAGAAATAACAAATGTTTAACCATTTAATGTGCAACATAGAATGATCCAACTTCATCAGTATTCACAATTTGACCGACGGGAAAGATCCATCCAAACTTCTAACATAAGCGTAAAGCAGTTTCTGGAGCAGCAAGATTGGCAAATCCCTTATCGCATTAACTCAAACCAAATGTGGCAGTCATGGTAATAACATATCAAGCATGTTCCGATTACATATTCACGTATCATAAGCATAAAGTATTAGGGTCTCTAGTAGCACAGACAGAAAACAGATGTCTGAATTGGGACTTTTCCTCGTGCAACAGCTATCATATAGCCACCACGAAGGGTGCCACTTAGGATTCTTGCTTGCAAGACAAGAACGTAAAGACTCAAGTGCCCAAACACAGAATACACAGGAAATTTCACACATCATCACCTAATGAAACCGGTGGCAACCAGAAAGATGAATGCAAGGTTATGATTCTACAACCAAATCTATGTCAACTTTATCAATTCCAAGTTCCAACTCCAGCCAACCATTAGCTCCAGCATTTATACTCCTCCATCCCCTCTCGATGACTACATCTCAGTACACTTTTTCTCTTACCACTAAAGTTGCATAATTATCTATCTACTCGAGAGAAGTTGTATGATTTAAATCAAGCCCAATTTACATAAACCATAACTATGATGACATGCATAAAGCACAAAACAAGGCTACTAAACATTGCACAATCTGATAGCTATGAGAGTTTTAAGAACGAAGAAAGCCGCGGGAGGCGATCATCAGTTTACCAATGACAAATGTGGGTAAACGGTCGAGGCGTCCATCAGCTTGAAAAACAAAATTGGAATTCTTCTGACAATCTCTAACTCCCAATTCCAATTCAACACATACACTCCTTCAGCTTCTCTTGACGATTTACATACAAGCACATAACATGTGATAAAAATCAAGCCATGTTTAAATGAAGCATAGCTGGAATAAGATAAAACTAAGGCGATCAAAACATGTACAACCAACCACTATATGAATTTTAGGATTGGAACATCAGCCTAATCCACTAATAGAAATAGGCCCATCCATCATCACGAGGATTCAATGCTCGAGAGATCAAACCCCCAATAATGCGATGACGAATCACAATTGTGACGAAATTAACAATAGCAGAAGCTTTCTTTTCTGTGAAAATAGAACAGAAAGACTTACGTTGAGGACGACGGCCCGAAGAGGGGATTCTCCTTCAGGGGCTGGAAGGCGAACCGGCCGAGAAAGACGGCAACGCAGTCCCCCATATAAGTCTTGGGGCAATCATTCTCGTACATGATGACGGCGAACACAACCAGGTTGGCCAGGACGAACGCCGGCACCAACCAGGGTGTCCACCTCCGGAACGGACGGTGCTCTGGCGGGGGCAGGCCCCGGCACCCCGGCGGCTGCGAGGCAGGGAACGGCGAAACGGCCGGATTCAAGTCGTTGTCCCCTTGCAGCCCCTGGACCTTGATCTCGATTTCCGACGCACCAGATTCCCTCCCCATGCCTTATTACTGGATTATTGCGATGAAAAACAAATTAGTACGGGAAAAATCGATCCATTGTTTAAGGAGAAGAGGAGGAGGAGGAGGAGGTGAGCATCAGAGAGAAGAAAATGAAGAAAATTAGAAAAGGATTAGGGGATGGGATTACTTGCAATTGATGGAGGGGAGGAGAAGCGGCGGACGGCGAAGGTACGAAAGAAGAAGAAGAAGAAGAGAGAGAGATCGTCGGTTTGGCGCGCTTTCTTCTATTGGGATATCTTCTGCCGGGGAAAATCTCAGCGGTGCGAAAGAATAAGAATCGGACGGGGGAGATCACATGTGTCGACAAAGACAGGGAACACACAACAGGGGTGGACGCAAACGAGGCCCGATAACGACGCCGGGCCACACACACCGAAGAGGAAGCTTAGCGGTTAACTGAAAGGGACCTCCCACCTACGTCATCTCCCCCCCGTGACATGGGCCCGTTCCCCGGTCGGTGGCTCGGGCGAGGCGGACCGTGTTGTCCACGCCAGAAGACCCTTGCCATCTTCGTCTTCCTGTCGTCGTCGTGTTGGTTGTGGCACGTGCCCGGCACGGACGTGGGTCCCCGCGCGGTCCGCCTGCGACGCAGCTGGTAGCGGTTAAAGAATTAGCTGACCAACCCGCCAGTTAAGCTTAGGCAAGTGTTTGATGGGCCGAGCTTGACGAGCTTCAATGTTCGGGCCTGCGTTCATAGTGGAATGGCCCTAATGTCCGTCCTGGGCTTAACATTTCAAGACAAATTTCCTACAACACTATACCGTACAGAAAAAGGAGAGATTTGCCTTGAACAAACACCAGTTTCCAACATGGGATTTTTGGCAAGAAGAAGCCGCCAACAAAAATAGAATAGACATCATTCAGCAGATATTTGTGACGAAGGTGATATAAAAAAACAAAAACAAACGGAAAGTGTCAACCAGTTTAGTCGTTAAAGAATTTTGACAGTTCATGCATTTGCCTTTTGTAAAAAAAAAATTATTAAAGTACTATGCTCACTTGCCAATCTGATGATCCTTAACTGGAGAACGTTCCGACTCGAACAATCACCGATATCATCGTTCTGATAAAAAAAAATTAAAAAAAAACTCGGATACAAGAATTTGGTGAAACTATTCTCCCAACATTCAACCTTCAATTATTTTCAGTTATTTATCAAAAGATATGTTACATCATTGTGGATGAGAGAAGTACTACTCAGAAAAATGTTTATGTTTTGTACACTCAGTCGACCACCAGCTCAAATGCTCTTAGAACTTGTCGCGCGCGCATATGATCACTAACTATAAATACATGACAATGCCACGCCCCTCGCTACTCGGTTTCAATGCCTGAAGCTGCCTCATTTTTGATGTTTTCAACTGCCGCAACTTCTTGTTTATCTGGAAAACAAAATGTTGATGTCAGTAACATTAAAAGAACATATGAAAGATTCAAACTTACAGTGAACATTTCAAAGCACAGGAAGTAAAATTCCGTTACACAAAATACATTCCTTTCTACATTGTTGTTGCACAAAAGTAACATTCACAACACCTCTCCTAGTTTCAACCAAATCAATCATGAAATTTAGTTTCTCACTGTATGGATATGACTGACCACAAAGTTTCTATTGATCTATTTCCTTCAAACTGAAGTGCAGAAACTGAGAATACTGCCCGTTGAATAGCCATACATGCTGACGCCTCCCACCCCAGAAATAATGAGAAACACTGTAAAGAGTGTTTAACTTAAGTTTTTTCTGAATTATAGTAAAGCAATAGTTGTAAAATAGTTTTCTGATTCAAAAACCATGCTGGGAAGATAAAACATAAAATCTATAGGTTCTCCATATCAACCTTTAACCGGTGCTGATCATGCATCACTTGCTTCGCTTGTGCTCTGACTTCTTCAGGATCAACTAGAGACCGAGGGCGCACAACAAAATCTAGAGGCAATGCTTCAGGGACAGAAACATGTTGTCTGGTTGCTGCCTGTCCAGTTCTTCGCAGACTACACCCAGACAAAAGAGAAGCTAATTATATATCTCATGATCAACATAGCTCCACTTAAATTCAATAACTGAGTGTTTCATCCAAAAATAGTAACAGTGCAAATAAGTGGTGGGTAGTCTTACTTTGAAAGTTCATCCAGATCCAAGCGTATCCAGTTATCTTGAGATTCCAGTCTCCTTGCTTTAGTAAGGTGCCTTTATTTTCCCAAACAGATAGTATTTCAGAAAAGATATATCAAAGTAATAACATGAACATGCTAAAATCTTATAGAAATTTCCAGAACAAAGGGGTAAAACATAATAGATACTTCTGAGATAGTTGTCTGTATGGCTCTCTCTCTTCATCAGAAGTCCTCATATCCTCAAATCTAGTACTCTTGTTAAATATTGATCGACTCTGCACATGATTGTTTAAAAAGTCAAAATAAATACATAACCAATCAACCTATGAATTATGGAAGACAAAGTTAACATTAAGAATATATATATGTATATGTATATATATATATATAACATATACATATATGTATATATATATATATATATATAACATATACATATATATATATATATATATATATATATATATATATATATATATATATATATATATATACACACATATACATATACTTATATATAAGGGACTATATTCGAATAAAATTAAAATCATGTTCTAAGAACTAGATCCAACTTGCAAGGATAAAAAATCTCATTACCCATCTATCAACCAATTCTTTAGCAAGTTTTCTATTGGAAGTTGTTTCCTCATCTGATTTTGATAAGAACATTATCACCTGCATGCAGAAAATTTAGAATTGGTAAAAACCTCATGAAAATTCAGAGATGGTGTCCACTAAGAGGATGGCATCATAATTATCACTCACCTTCCCGATACCACTTCTTTTTAGTTGTTCTCTTCTGTCACACTGCTCTAGATCAATAGGAAACTGCATGGTAAAAGCACATTGTCATGATTACATGCAATTAACCAAACGATGTAAATAAGGATTCATTATCCTGCATTATTCCAGAAACTTTCACATTGCTATGAATAACCCAGAAAAGATCTCTGACAAGCATATGATAGGAAATATCATGTTCCCAACTCACAAAAATAAAAAAAGAAAGTTTCATAAGCTAAAGATGGGGCATCATACATACATCGGAAAGTACTTTTAGTATGGCAGTTCGGACATTCATATTCGGAAAACTTCCATCAGGCAAGGGTTCAAGCCAATTTTTCAGAAGAGATAATACTCCATGATCCAAGAAATCTTGCTGAAGTGTTTTCCTGTATATGGGGGAAATCTCAAGATGTCAGCAAGACAAAATGTATCAAATGAACACAAGTCCTGATGGTTTGAAACAACAGCACTTTCTTTACCATAGAAATCTTACTTAGAGAGGGCCTCAACAAGTAATGGCAGCTTCCTGAGTTTGTTAATGGCTGGTTTGTTCTGCCTGTTCAGCTCAGCATCTTCCTCAGTCACCACCTCTAATTCAGCCATAACGTGTTCAACAAGCAAAGATATTTCAGCATGGGACTTCTCATTTTTCTTCTTTTTCCCTCCCCCATTAAATAGTTGCTGAATTTCATCATCTTCTTCACCCTCTTCTGCCTGAAAGAAACCAAAAACAATGAAAATGCATAATACATATATTTTCTTCTTTATTTTCCATATTTATAAAATTGCTTTTAAGATAAATTTGATAATAAATTCCTGCACTTACAAATCAAAGAATTGTCATCCAGTAGACGAAACAAATTTTTTTTTAATGCATAAACACTTGTTTTTAAGCGAATGGAAAAAATACTTTCAGACCTCAATTGCATGCATATGCAAGTGATATCAGAAGCTGAATATTGAGAATATATGAACATTCTAGTCAAATCAATCAAAGATAAGTGTCTAGAAGTATACACCATAAACACGAGATAAAAGTGCAGCTGATAGTATAGCTTTGTCAATCAAAGTATTCATCTGTACAGTTTGCTGCTTACCAAAACAATAAAAAGAAATGGCATTCAGATGTCATTGCTTTAAAATAAATTCTAGAAATCAATCAAGAAAAAGTATGACTCGCTAAAAGCAAATTAAGTAATAAAGAAGACAACCGCTGAAGAAATTAGAAATTTTCGAAAAGCATATTCAGACCTCTAATTCGCCTCTGGCTATAGTGTTCCTTGATCCACTCCCCACTTTTCCCTGCTTGGTGGACGGCGTTCCCTTCCTCTTCTTCTTCAACGACAGCTCTACGTTCCCCGACTTATCCAATCCTTCGTCGCCGAACGCCGCCATGGGGCCGCCACTGAAATGCGGCGGGCCCTCGTTCGCGCCCTTCATTATAAACCTCTTCCTCGGCTTGCCGCCCTTGCACTCGTTGGCAGAATCCATCACCGGCGTCGGTGAGCGGCCCCACCGCCAGGACCTCCCGTCAACGTTGCCGTCGTCGTCGACGCGGTCGGCCGGCTTCAGGGAGCGCTCCCGACAGGACGGCATGTCCGAAACCATCAATGTCTCACCATCCTCGTCCAGAAAGCTGCCAAAAGAAAAAATCAAGACCAAGCATCCCAGAAGCGTAGGAAGGAAGTGTAACCAAGGTTTCAATCCAAAAACGTACCCATCATTGCCAAAGGCCATGGCCGAGAAGACAGTGAGAAGGCGAGAAGACACACTCGACGAGGAGGACAGAGCGAGGAGTATATATGGAAGTGAAACCCGAGTCCGAGGCGGATACGGATTTCCTCTGGGTTTCGGAATTAATTATTCCTTGTGGAATTAGGATATACGCACAACACCTCTCGGCTGCAATCACTGTCGTCGTTTCCCGTGATCAGAAGGGCTAATGATCGATTCTTGTTTTTGTGATATTACGCGTCAACAAGGTGTTCGATACATGTCCTGCGACCGGTACTCATTTCGATATCTCCATTATAAGAACATATTCTACTTTGATTTCTTCTGCGAATTCGATCGAAAGGAAACGAATTGTCTCTTTCAGATGAGCCAGCAGATGAACAGGAAACGAATTCGACCAACGGGATGCATCACGAAGACGTACGAAAGAGAAATCAGTCATCAGAGAAGAATTGCTGGAGTGCGGAAAGATGGGAACAAGAACCCGATGCCAAGATCGGCAAACGATAAAGATCTGTACCTTTTACTCTGTCAGGTCGAATTCGAGTGCGAGAACAGAGTGACCGTCCTTGGAAATGAGTTGCGTCCTCGCACTCTTTTGGATCGGACTCGTTCTTCTCTTCCATCTCGCGGAGCTCATCCTCGTCGAAGAAAAAATCGAACAGCGGGTGAAGACTCTTGTTCATCTCGTTGTCCTCGCACCACGAAACATGGGAAGCAAGTCGAAAGCCGCTCATTCTTTTGTCAGGAAAACCAAAGGAAACGCGAAGAAATCGTAATGCTTGGATCAACTCGAAGGAACAGAACCGAAATGAATCCAAGAAGCACCTTCGTCGTGGGAGAACCGTGACATGGAGCGGGCTCTCCCAACGCCTTCGATTCACAGGTGCTACCAACGGAGAACGAACAGGCGCGACAAGAATCACGGAAACAAAGAACAAATTGCTCAAGATTGCTCATATTTCTTGGCGATCTTGGAAGAGGAAGCGAGAGGATTCAGAAAAGGTACGGGAAGAAACCCGAGATGGCGAGTGAGGAAGGGCGACGGGTTCGCAGACGTCGGATCTGAGATCGCGGATGCGGTATGGGCGTGTGCCGGGGGACACGGATGAGACGAGAGGACCGCTTACTTGGCCGTCTGTGACTGGCTCTCTGAGGAGTGGGCCCGAATGCGTCAGACTAAACTCTAACGTGCAGCTTGGAGAGTTTTGGGCCAATCGGATAAGAAATTGTGGGTGAATTGGGTCCATTATGGTTTCAACGTGCAGCTTGGAGAGTTCTTTACCTCCCATGATCCTGACTCGCCAAGCATACGTTGCTGGGTCAAAGGCTTCATTATATTTGGCCGCCATGACGACAAGGAAAGCATTCAGTTCACAAAAGCAAATAACAGGCATAATATCAAACACCTTATATGCAAAGTTGTAGGAAAGATAAGACTTCTCGAGCGAGGAAGAAAGTCGCATCACGTTTTCCTGGAGTTCCACTCGTTTGCTTTGAACATTGTTTTATTAGGGGTGGAAACCATCTCATAGCTTTAACGGCTCCATCCAATGTATCAGCCGACCTGCGCCGAGGCTCCCACGTCGACACAAATTAAACATTCCTATCGGCGGTCAAACTCGCGTCTTCCTCGTCGCTCTCGGCTTCCCGTTGCAGAAAGGGCGAGCCAAGTATGGACTTGGAATCCTACTGCTCAATATGCCTTCATATACATAAAGGCGAGGTCGACTACTGATCAAAGTGCCTCGATTACGGTAAGACGGGAGCTTCCTTGTGGTGATAGATTCTGTAGCCAAGGTGACGTCTTTTTTATGATTTTGGCCTTCCTCTTTCTTGTCGATTACTTTGTTTCTGCCGGCTGTCACTTCCATGGATTCCGTGGATCCATTCGCTTTTAGTTTGCTTGTTCCTTGTCATTTCGTGTTTTCGTTCAGGCGATGTTCGATGGCATATCTAATTTGCAGCTTTGGCTTGTTCTGCTTCATCTGTGTTCCTGTTTGAAGATCCAAAATGACATCTTTCGTTTCTTTTAGATCTTGGTCGTGCTATTCTTTGCCTTCCTCTCTTGTTTTTGTTGATCGGGCTTGGGGTGATAGATCGGAAAAATAGTGAACTTTGGGAAATTTTGGTGCAGAGGATGATGAGAAGTCAGTAGCCATGGGAACTGGAATTCGAGATCTGCGAGGAGCGATGAACGGGTTCAAGCATGACCAGCTCTTCCCTGGTCCAATCACTGCCGATGGTCTCAAACTCAAAGGGCTGCCGCCACCGACGACCGCCGCCTACCTGGATGGCTTCATCGATGTGCAAGATGGTCCTTTTCTTCAGGCCTCTTCTGATTCTGCCTTGAATGCGAGTGCTCCGCGTTCGTTCATGGATGATCTCTTTACCGAGGAGGACGCCTTGAACAGCTTAGATTTGGGAGGACAGCAGCAATCGTCGAACCACCGGAGTAGCCGGCTCGACCTCCCAGATGACCATCCTGGTCTCCCGCCCTCGGTCTGCACTCCAAACGCCAACGTTTCGCCAGTGACCGAGACAGGTACCCTGGACGACTCTGAGATCTTCTCTGATATCGGTCTCAACTACATTAGTCAGATGCTCATGGAGGAGAACACCGATGATAAGTTTGATGTCTATCTAGAGAACCCAGCCCTCTTTGATCCAGAGAATACCTTCCTTGAGATCTTACGTGAGAACTTGACAGCTTCACCTGGTCAACCACCATTATGTTCCAGCCATTTCTCTGACAGCCCGGATGGTGACCACCATGGGAGCTCCGGTAGCAGCACGGTCATGGACAACAGCCACTCGTATGATGCCCCAGAGACTCATCCTGTCCCTATCGATGACTCCCCGCAGTCTTCGTTTTCCTTCGTGAATAGCTTCGGTGATATCTTAGAAGGGGTGGAGGAATCTCTTCTGAGCACTCTTGTAGCTCCTGATCTGCCTGCCGACAGCCAACCCGCGTGGCAATTCCAGGGAGGGATTGAGGAGGCACATAAATTCCTTCCGAGCAATGATAAGTTGGCGATCAACTTTGAAGCCAATAATTTCTACCTACCACAAGTGCCAAATGAGGGGACGAGACTGGTCGAGGTCAACGCAGAGGGTGGAGTCAGTGAACATGCAGTTCATCCGTCGAGAGGTCGGAAAAACCGGCACGGCGAGGATCTGGAATTGGAGGAGGGAAGGAGCATCAAACAATCTGCTGTCTTCTCCGGGGAGACCGGTCGCACCAAATTGTTTGATGAGGTTTTCCTGTGCAGCGGGGGGAGTTGCGCCAAGGCCGTTGACAAATTCCGAGAAAGATCGCAGAACGAAGCAAGTAAAGTCTCTCACGGCAGTCGTTCCAAAGGCAGGAAGGGTCGAGGGAAGAAGCAACCGAAGAGGGAGGTGGTCGATCTAAGTTCTCTCCTGACCCATTGCGCTCATGCCGTGGCCGCAGATGATCATCGAAGCGCAAATGAGTTGCTGAAGCAGATCAGACAGCACTCCTCGCCTTTTGGAGACGCAAACCAGAGGTTGGCTCATTGGTTCGCCGACGGCCTGCAGGCTCGCCTCGCCGGTACAGGGAGCCAGATCTACCATTCCTTGACGGCAAAACGGATTCCCGTCACCGACGTCCTGAAAGCTTACCAGCTTTACATGGCTGCCTGTCCTTTCAGGAAGGTCTCCCATTTCTTTGCCACGCAGACCATTCTCAATGTGGCAGAGAAGGCAACGAGGTTGCACATCATAGATTTCGGCATGTACTACGGATTCCAGTGGCCATGTTTCCTGCAACGCCTCTCTTCTCGGCCTGATGCCCCTCCGAAGGTTCGGATGACCGGCATCGACGTCCCCAGGCATGGATTCCGCCCGACCGAGCTGATCGACGAAACGGGGCGTCGCTTAGCCGATTACGCATCCAACTTCCGCATCCCTTTCGAGTTCCGCTCGATTGTAGCGGCCAAGTGGGATGACATCCGAGTGGAGGACCTCGACCTTCGTGACGACGAGGTGGTCGTCGTCAACTGTTTGTACCGGTTCAAGAACCTGTTGGACGAGACGGTGGTGGTGGATAACCCGAGGGACAAGGTGTTGAACACCATAAGAAAGATCAACCCGGATGTGTTCATTCACGGCGTCGTCAATGGCACGTACAGTGCTCCGTTCTTCGTCACCCGCTTCAGGGAAGCTTTGTTCCACTATTCTTCCTTGTTCGACATGATCGGGACGAATGCGCCACAGGAGGATGAATCGAGGCAGCTGATCGAGAAGGTCCTCTTCGGTCGAGAGGCGCTCAACGTCCTTGCCTGCGAGGGCACGGAGAGGTTGGAGAGGCCGGAGACTTACAAGCAGTGGCATGTGAGGAACCTGAGGGCGGGGTTCGTGCAGCTTCCATTGAACCGCGACATCGTGAAGAATGTGACGGATAAGATGAAGTCCTGCTACCACAAGGACTTCGTCGTGGACGAAGACAAGCGGTGGCTGCTGCAAGGGTGGAAAGGGCGTATCGTTTATGCCTTATCGACATGGAAATCCAATAGTTCCTACTAGATTTGCTTCTAATTCTTTGCGTCTTTGTAGCATACGACGTGAATGAAGTTTCATTTTGCATCGTTCGTTCATGGAAACTTTTGCCTCTCTCGTTGAAGAAACACTCCATCGTCTACCAAAAATAAAATCAGCAGTCAAACCATGAACGAATGCAGCAAAGTCAACTTCCTTTTTTCATGCGCAAACAAGAGTTGTCTCGATCACAACAGATGCAGCAAAGTCAAAGCTGCAAACATCTGGAAAAGATAATAACAAGACAAAGGTGGCAATGAATGCCGTCGACACCTCCGACCTCGTCTCTTCCGCAAGTGCACGAAATGGATTTCACGAAGATAAACACGGAGAAATCTGTGCTAAAAGCAGCCAGACGTCGAAATCTCATCCTGCAGCTATATAAATTATGTTTCAATCTTATTGCATGCGCTAAGGGAGAAGATGGCGCTATCTTTGATCGAAGACGGGAAAGAAAACGGTCGCTCATGTGTCTGCCATATGGAAAACACGGGAAAGAAAACGGTCGCCATGTCTTGCCCTGTCTTTGATCGAGTCGCCAATGGCTGCAGTTCAAACTCCAACTCTGCAGAATCCCTCGAGTGAGAGAGTCGAGGGAACAAAAAGTCAAAATGAAGAGGCAATCTTCGATCTCTAGCTTAACCATTTACGAAGCAGAAGCGATGTATTGTTCCCAGCCACATCTCTCGCTCTTATCGTTGAGAAAAGCAAAAGCTTTATATTAATGGTAAATTATATATATTAGTAAATGTCGAAAAGATATCAACAAAGTCGTTGTAGTATAGTGGTGAGTATTCCCGCCTGTCACGCGGGTGACCCGGGTTCGATCCCCGGCAACGGCGATATTGTTTTTTGTATTATTATATATGGCCTCATGTCTAATTTTTCACCTATAACAATAACGAAATTATCCTCTTTTGCTCAATTTGTCTCACTTTTGGTTTCGACAAATTTATAATAATAATAAATAAATAGATTATCGACTTATCGTTGAGAATGGATATATAATTCTTTTTATAGTCTAATGGATGATCATTGAGGTGAGACGATAATAATTATACATAGTTTTATATTATTATATTTATGGCCTTATGCCTAATGTTTCACTTGTAACAATAATTAATAATAACTAAATTATTCGGTTTTAATAATAATAATAATAATAATGAATCCTCGACTTATCCTCGAGAATGCATGTGCAAGTCTTTTTATAGTATAATGAGCGGACGATAATAATTATATATATATATATATATATATATATATATATTATTTGACCATCAATAGAATCATCAAAACTATAGTTACGAGATAACGATCTTATCGAGTCAGCTTCTCCGTCATCACCGTGTCATCGACCTCGTTAGGTGAAGTTGACCTCATAGAATGAGTGGGTATTGAGTCCGACATGACGTGTCAGACGAGTGGGCGTGAATGACATAAGCGATGACCCAATATGAGTACAGTGTAAAGGCATCTTGCTGTTCAGGGAGATAGTAGCACGAGAGTGAGACAACGGAGTTTGAAATTGATGGTGGTTTTCAACACGCTAATGAAGCTTAATATCATGTCATGGTTCCATCAACAATCACACAATTGGTAGCAAAAGAACACAGTTTGACCTGATGGTCAACTCATAAAGAGGAGAAAGACTTTTTGTACATACATTTGTATATTCATTTATTTTTGACCGAAGAGACAGAAATCTGTTCACAGAAGTTTTTTAAACAACATGTCCACTCTTCTTTGATTCTGATTAATATCACTGGAATTTGCACAAATCTGATACATTCCCAATTAAAGTTTGAAAGATTTGATTCACCATAAGACCATTACTTAGTCACACTCTCTTGCATGGAGTCTTCACTGTAACAGTTAACCTACAGCCTGTGGTGATTGCTACGTTTTTCCCTTTAAAGAACTCTGCAGGTTGGTTGTTCTTTTCATCTGCAGAAGAAGCATTTCCTACTGAAATTATAGATGAGTTTGAGGTCTCCAATCAATAAAAAGAGCTAACAGCAGTGGAGAAGACTTGTTACCTGCCAGAAAATGAAGTGATTTGTGTGCCAAGCTAAGTCATATCATGATGGACTCTTTACTCTGTTGAGGATGGTTTATAAGTATTCTTGGCTGTGCAATTTTCTTTTCCAGTGCAACTTCTTTATCAAGCATGTATGAACACTTCAGCAAAGAGTTTCTTTTGCTGACAATATCAAGTATTCTTGGCTGTATGTTTTGAATGACCTTCTCTTTTATGAAGAAACAATGCACCATTTAATTCATGAATTCCATTGTTTCATTTTCTTTTTTGCTTTAGAAACTAGAGAAATTTTATGAGCAACCATTCAAATTTGATCTTTAAGAGCAGCAATACTAACATCAATAACAGTGCATCACAGGATCTGGATTTTGGCCAGTAGCTTGGTCACAAAGCAAGCTAGTTATTGACTATAAGAGAGAGAGAGAGAGAGAGAGAGAGAGAGAGAGAGAGTTGGTATGTAGTAAGTACAGTGGGTTCTGTTGAATTCGATTTCAACAACCCTATGCTTGCACGTTAATACCAAAACGAACGATCCAATATTCAAGTGTTGTCTTTGTGATCACGAAATGGCTTTTGGTTCTTAATTGATTTGAATCCACTTCAAACAGTCGCCTAAGAAGAGAGAATCTATTGATATGACTTTTGAGAGTACTGCACTTCCAATTTCAATCGAAATTTTCTTTATGAACACTCTAAAGTTCAGCTCGACCAACGCCTTTGCATCGGAAAGATTTCATGTCTTACCTATTAAACCAAGCCATCTCCTGCATATATATATATATATATACATATTGGACGTGCTCTTATCCATCTCCATTGACTGTGCCAATACTACGGGCTCAACTCGCTCACCGTGCATCCATGGGTGTTGTTTCTTCGGCAGTTCCTGTGAGAACTTTGCTTCTCGCGGCGACCATTTTCCTCGCGTCGGCAGAGCTCTCATCTGGTGCTACGAGGCATTACAAGTTCGATGTAGGTTACGTACTGGTAGATGTCCATGAAACCTAGTGGAAGCGGGAATAAGATTTGCTCTTTTGCAGATAACACTGCGGAATGTGACGAGGCTGTGCAAGACGAAGAGCATTGTGACGGTGAACGGGGAGTTCCCGGGGCCAAAGATCGTCGCGAGAGAAGGTGATCGTGTTGTGGTTAAGGTGGTGAATCATGTTGAGAACAACATCACCATACACTGGTACGTTGAGCTCCTTTTGCTGCATGCCGCTCTCATCTCAACGCCTCAGGTCAAGTTTGAGCGACACGAGCTTGGGTGGTGCAGGCATGGCATAAGGCAGCTGCGCAGCGGATGGGCGGATGGCCCAGAACACATCACTCAGTGCGCCATCCAAACCGGGCGGAGCTACGTCTACAACTTCACCCTCGCAGGTCAGAGAGGCACGTTTTGGTGGCATGCACATGCCTCTTGGCTGAGGGCCACCGTCTATGGCGCTCTCATCATCCTCCCCAAGCCCGGCGTTCCTTACCCGTTTCCGAAACCGTACAAGGAAGTCCCTATCATCTTCGGTAATCATAGGATCTTGCGTTTATTGTATGGCTAAATGAATCATAATCTCATGAACACTTGATGTTGCAGGTGAGTGGTTTAATGCAGATCCAGAGGCTGTCATTGCCCAGGCTCTGCAGACTGGTGCAGGGCCAAATGTCTCTGACGCTTACACGATCAATGGTCTTCCCGGGCGCTTGTATAATTGCTCGGGAAAAGGTAATCTCCTATCGGAGAAGACCGCCTTAGAACTCATCTCGCCATGTCTTTGCTGCTAACATTATGATTTGCATGGTTGATAGATACGTTCAAGCTGAAGGTGAAACCCGGGAAGACGTACCTACTTCGACTGATCAACGCTGCACTCAACGACGAGCTCTTCTTCAGCATCGCCAACCACACGGTCACCGTCGTCGAGACCGACGCCAATTACGTCAAGCCCTTCGACGCTGACACCGTCCTCGTCACGCCCGGCCAGACCACCAACGTCCTTTTGCACGCGAAGCCGACGTTTCCCAACGCCGCTTTCCTCTTCGCGGCGCGGCCTTATGCCACCGGGCAAGGCACGTTCGACAACACCACCACCGCCGGCGTCCTCGAATACCGGAACCCGATCGGTTCCGGCAGTACGAAGCTGCCGCTCTTGAGGCCGGCGCTTCCATCTCTTAATGACACTGCTTACGCCACCAACTTCTCCAGCAAGCTTCGCAGCCTCGCGGATGCTCGGTATCCCGCCAACGTGCCGCGAACCGTCGACCAGCGATTCTACTTCACGGTCGGCCTCGGCGCCGACCCCTGCCCCGCGAACCAAACTTGCCAAGGCCCCAGTGGCACCAAGTTTGCTGCGTCCATCAACAACGTCTCCTTTGCGTTCCCCTCCACCGCTCTGCTCCAGGCTCACTACTTGGCTCGGTCTTACGGGGTGTACACGACGGACTTCCCCAACAACCCTCCGTCTCCCTTCAATTACACGGGGACTGCCCCCAACAACACGTTCGTGAGCCATGGAACGAAGGTGGTAGTGCTGCCGTTCAACACCAGCGTGGAGGTGGTGATGCAGGACACCAGCATCCTAGGGGCGGAGAACCACCCGATGCACCTCCATGGCCACAACTTCTACGTGGTGGGGACAGGCTTCGGGAACTACGACCCGATGAACGACCCTCCCAAGTTCAATCTGGTCGACCCCGTGGAGAAGAACACCGTCGGCGTCCCGGCCGGCGGGTGGCTCGCCATCCGCTTCCTTGCTGATAACCCTGGTAAGCGTACGACCGTGCAATCATATCATCATCCAGCTTCGGTCAATAACGTTGACGTGGTTGCGTGACAGGCGCATGGCTCATGCACTGCCATATCGACGTGCATCTCAGCTGGGGATTGAGGATGGCGTGGCTGGTCAACGACGGGGCACTCCCCACCCAGAAGCTGCCCCCTCCGCCATCCGATCTCCCGAGATGTTGATGCTGACCGTTCGATGGGTTGATTCGTCCTCCTCTTGGGCTTGCTGCTTTATTATTATTATTATTATTATTATTTTGGACCGTAATTTTGTCTTCATTTTGTCCTTGTGAGGTTTTCGCATGAGTGAAATCGATGTCATGTATGCATGATTTGGTGCAGTAGAGTCCAATGCTCCGACTGGTCCACGCACCACATGCCCTGTCTCGTGTCCTCTCTCGTAAACACCTTAAACAAAGTTATCCAAGCCCACGTGGCAGACAAAGCTACATTGCATTGAAATTTTTGCCTTGCCACTGTTTCCCTAAACAACACATCATGGGTAGAAATGCATGATGTGGGTTGACACTTATTCCACATGATCTTAGAATGAAACTTGGACAAAGGCTATGGTGGTAGGTGCATGCATGGATGTCCCTATTTGAGGGCACGTACAGCCGCGGAGGCCTCGTGGAGTAGCACTTGCTGTCGACTGCGTGCCCTCAAAGTTTACTCGGATCTCCACCACGTAATGTCTCCACGAACGCCACGACAAAAACTCATCATAGTCGTCGATTCTACGTGGCCCCACTCCCCCTCCACGCCAATAATTGGTGGATCAGAAAGTTCCTGATGCGTTGACCGTTGACAACGTCCGATGAGCTCGTGCGCGATGCCGATCGGACGGTCGCGATGGAGTTGGGATCCACGTGGGCAATTTGGACGGCTCGCATCGCGTCGGCATCGTCACGAACGCTCATTGTCGGCGCACGCTGCGATCACCCGAACGACATGGCGAGGGAGGAGTCAGTGATTCCGCCGTCGTTTGCATCGCCGTCATTCTGAGGGTAAAAGTCCATTCATGAAGTTTGATCCGTAGGCGAAGGACGAGGCCTGCTTTCGTCTTGCTGCTTCGGTGTGGTCCGCCATGCGCTGTGTCCAGGGTGGCCGCCCGGAAGATCCAAATCACGGTCGCAGCGAGGAATGAAAAGGCTGGTTGGTTTCAGAGGTCTCGTGCAGTGCCAAATCCAGGGAGCTGACAAGCTCGGGGACTGCGGAGATCAGTCTTTCACTTCTTTCTCCGCCAGTGATTCACCGCGGTAGTCTCGGCGACAGATTCTCCGCAGAGAAAGGTGGGGCCTGTTGATGGGGTGGTAATGGCAACCACCGTCGCTGCTCTCCCCCTCTCCTCTGTCTATAAAGACAATTCACCACACTGCAACCTCACGCTTGCTTTCCTCTCCCTCTCTATCCCTCTCTCTCTCTCTCTGTCCGCATTCCGCTAAGCCAGTCAGGGCAGCTGTTGTCAGATCCAGAATTGAGGATGGAGGTGTACATGGATGAGAAGTGGAAGCTGTCGAAGAAGGGGGACAGGGGAAGGAGAAGCATGACGCAGTCCTTCTCCAGGCGCTGCGCGAGTCTGGTTAAAGAGCAGAGGGCAAGGTTCTACATCATGCGCCGCTGTGTCGTCTTGCTCATTTGCTGGAGAGACTACTCCTGACGAGACCCGTCCTTCTTCTGCTACTGTCTTCTTCTTCTTCTTCTTGTTGGCAAAGATCTTTCAGCTTTATCCAACAAGAGAGAAGGTGAAGTCGAAGACAAAATTAGGTTTCGTGTATAGATATATATATATATATATATATATATATATATATATATATATATATATATATATATATATATATATATATATATATATATATATATATATATATATATATATATA